TTATTTTGTTTTTTGACAACTTGCAGGGGATTCAGTCTGCTTCAGCGAACTGTTTTCCCCACTCCGGCTATGTGTTCGGCTGTGTGGAGCCAAAGCATGTTCATTCGGCTCGGCTGTTTACTTCAGCTACCTTCAGCTGTCGGATGGGCTATTTTGAATAGGGCATACAGAAGCCAAAGTGAGTGAGGTTTGGGCGAACATTTGGCTAAATCCTTGGCTCTTTAGTGAATAACCCCCTTATTTGCCAGGAAGTGATGCAGCTGAAGTTGATTTGTTCCAATGAAATAAACATATGTGTAACACTAAGCTCATGTAAAGAAAAGCCCTTTCTTTCAAACATTTGTGTAACTTTTTGGGGCATCCTTCTACCAGGTGAGTCTGTGGTGAAGTTGCAGCATAGTGAATCAGTGGGGTTGATTTACTAACCTTATAAACACGCCACGAACAAGTATACACCTCTGTAGTGTGTTCCCTCCCAGCATGATCTATTGGTGGAATCTAGACACCTTTGTAGTGTGTACACACCCAGCAGGTGTGTTGTGCAAAGCCCTGCATGAATTGCAAGGTGATGTTGTGTAAATTAGCTCTGCGTTTATATATATATATATATACACACACACACAGACTGTATATAGATATACATACGCAGACATTGTATCATTAATTTTGAATATCTTCCTTTCATTTTGCTGCCCCGAAAGTTTACCACCTGAGACAGCTGTTTCAGGTGCACTCATTATAGGCTCACCGCTGAGTGTTCATGCCTGTTTCTTGGGCTGGGCACACACCTTACAACCATCGCAAGACTTTTGTCTTGCGATGGTTGTAAGGTACTTAAAAAAACGTACAATCTGCCTATGTTGCATCTGATGCTTCCGATGACAGCAATGCCGAACGGGCAGTGTGCGCTTGGGCACACCGCCCCGTATGGCTGTTATCGTACGGACATGCCACAAACCCGCCGAACATCGTACGATGCTCGGCGGGTTTTCGAACATGTCCGTAAGTTTAAAGTCATGCGACTTTACAGTAGTAGAGGTCGCACGGCTTCCACACACCTTACGATCATCGTACGATCGCGGGATTTCCCGCGATTATCGTACGATAATCGTAAGGTGTGTGGGGACCCTTATTCATACTGGCTTGGAATACCAGATGGGATGTTTACAGCAATCAAGAGAGGAAACATCTACAAGAGCACATCATGCATGCCAGTATTTGACATGGCATGCTATGTGCAGCTCAATGACTTTTGTAAATGAAAGCCTGGGAATCTGCATGAGTAGATAGCAAGATTTTCACACTTGTGTAAGATCTTTAAGTGTATCACATTAAGCACTTTTCAAAATGTTTATAATTTCATGCATACTGGTAGTCTGGAGCCACAAAGAGGAACACTCAAATGATTTGGCTACAAAATTCCGATTCATTTTCTGACACTAACGGTAGGGCGGAACAGGTGTTTGATAATTGTATTAATTAGAAATGTGCAATTGATTACCCTCTGCTAGACATATTGTGGCTACTTTTAATTTAAACAGTGTAAAGCTGTGTGAAATCAAAGACTACAGATTACAGGTATATATATCAATATTTATTTTACAAAGTGAAGCTTATTGAGAATTATGCTATCCGCTTCACAGGAGGAAATGGCTTAATGTATTTTTAATGTTGAAATGATCTGATAGAAACTGTTTCTTGACAACCCGTTGGGTAAAAATGTAACAATAATCAAAAATGTATGGAATAGTGTTGAGTTGTTACAATCCAATTAAGTCAAATAGTAATCATTTGTACTGAAATGTATTTCTTGTTTTCATAACTTCTGAGCATGAAGTACACTGTGTAATGGCTATATCATTGTAGTAGGTAAATTTCAATTAGTAATAAAATTATCCTGTGTTAGAATATAACAATCCAAAGTTCTACAAAGTGTTGGAAGTTATCTTTCGTTACATTTTTTTATGATTTTAATTAAACATTAATACATATTGGTGTATTGCTAGTAATTCCTAATGGCACCTCATTGAAAATATTGAGTACAAAAACACAATTGCAATAAGACTCACCAAATAACATATATGTAAATGTAGTGGTGCATTGGGTTGCCAAAAATAATGTAGGTGTCTTGAGAGCCCATTCAAAGTGATTAGGCTGCCTTGACACAATGCACATCAATGATTGGAAAATACATGCATGAAAGTGTGCACATTAATGCATGCAAAAGTGTGAATGGGCCCTAAAAAATGCAGCTTCACCCATCAAAGATACCAGGTCATCCTAATCTTGAAAACACCTCCTTGAACTATTCTTTTTTAACAGATGATGACCTAGCATATGATGGCAAAATTAACCTAAAAATATTACTGTCATATTTTTTTAACTAAATCTAATTTAGAAAAATATTGTTTTTTACCCACTTAAATGCGTAAATGGTACAACAGACCATTTTTACCAGGAAGATCAGCAAATTACCTAGCTCCCATGCGTTCTGCTAGCTGGCATCAAAGCCGCCAAATTCTGCTTTGCCTTCTTAGTCACCATTTGGGTAGAAGAACCCTGTATACTTCAGAACTTGGCTAGTCTTTTAAGGGATGCCCTTCTTTTTAGGGCACCCCTCCTGAAGCACCTGCCTGGTTCTAAAGGACTTGCAGTTTGTTTATTGGGGGTGGCTTGCAGCCCTTCAGGTAGGCAATACCTGTGTGGTGTTCTGGTATGGGTCTGTCAGTCTCTATATATCTTTCCTTATCTAACCTATTCATCCATCCCTCCTCTACTTAATATTTTACTTATCACTGGTCTGATGCCAGAGTCTGCATGAATAAAGAGAGATTCAACTGATATCCTATAAGTTTGTCACATTGGAAAATAAAATAAGATCAATTATGCATTTTCCCTTTTCATTAGTCATTTAAATAAATACCTGTAATGTATGTGAGATACATTTGTGGTTTTACATCAGAATGACAGGTCCACATTATCTTTTCTTACCTGTCAAACCATATCTCCATTTCATGGAATATAAACACATAGAAAAAGATTTATGCCTTCCCTTTTCTATTTATTTGTGCACTGATGCAGGTCCGTACATCTTTAAAACAAAAGCAGCTATTACATGCATTGTTTTTAACTGAGAGTGATACAAAATATCAAATAGTAATTGCTCAATCTATTATTTGATATGCATGCTTAGGAGAATACAGACAAAGAGAATTAAATGTAAATTGTTCCACTATTCATGAGTGTATGGCAGATGCCAGCCTGCAACATATCTGTTTATATTTGCAGGGAACTGATAACCCTTATCATAGAGAGGCAATGCATATCTTGCTCCTCTGATAAACTCCAAGGCTTCAGGCCATAGTGATGTAATAAAGGAACCCATTTATGTCCCAAAGCTTTTGTAATTCTACTGTCAAAATAATGAAATTTAAGTGTCTTTCTGAGAAATACAGGGCTTATTTCAAAATGTAATTTTGTATTATTTTAAAATAATAAGGTATAAAGGGAAGAAGTAGGGCAATGAAAGTTGGATTTGAACTGATGTGTGAAGGACAGGTAGAGGTTAAAAGGGTATTATTGAAAGGTTCAAGGATACTGTGTACTTGGGACAGATAGATAAGGTGGGTAAATGGTGCTTATTGTTTCAAAAAAGAATTGAAAAAGGAGCAGGTGCTAATATCATGTTCCTTATCGACAATTATGTAAGGTATGGAGGAAATGTATTTGTGCAGATGCTGCAAGGAGATACCTGAGATATGGCCTTCATTTTTCCTTTATGGGTAGGTTATAAATCAGTTCTGAAGGACATTTCCTTAAGTGATGCCAAATATGATAAAATAAGTAAAAGCCAGGAACACCATTGTAGTCTGTATCACTGGCCCTTCAGCTTATTGCACTCTTCAGGCCTTTTGCTGTCACCTAAATATATAAGATATATCTAGGTATATATAAGATATATAACACCATCGGCTCAGTTTACTAAGCTATAGCCTGTGTGTTAGTTGCCATAATGATCCTTATTATCACTAAATTAAGTTATGCCTAAAAATAGGCAAGGAGAGGGCAAAGGACTAGTCACCAGTATTGTCTGTGGTCATCTTGCAGCTAATCTTTTCCCCATAACTGACTTATCATGTTTTGTTCTACTCTGTGTCTCTCTGTGGAGGCAGCAATCTTGAAAGAAGCAGTGAGCAGTACAGTAGTGATTAAATATCATTCCATATCTCCTGATAATAGTAGTCGGTGGCAGCAGTGCCTTAGATCTCATACTGCATATATACAGCTATGAGGCTGTTTACACACCATATATAGGATCCTGGCTTACCAGTAGGTGCCCTGCTATTTTTCAGGTGTAATTCCAGACAAAAGGTAAATTTTTCAAGTAATAGCTTCAGCACAGTTAACACTTCTAGATGTTCCCTGTAACAGCAAATCTTCATTTTTATGTTTATTTTGAGTTGCAATATATTTTCTAAAATTATAAAATATTGAGCAGGCTTTCAAACAACTATTGTTTCTTAACATTGTACACTATATTGAACAATACATTATCAGGGTTATTCACAAAAGGGTGAAGAGTTTGGAGAAGGCTGGAGACGGGAACAATCTAGGCCAACACATCTGAACTGGAAAGTGAGCTGAATTAGAGAATTTCTCCAAATCAGCTATGTTGTACTAGATTGGTCACTTCTCCTGACTTCTCCAAATTGTTCATCCTTTTGTGAATAACCCTGTATATGTTTTAATTTGCTACTTATACATCATACTGTATCTGTGACAACTTTCAAATGTAACATCCACTTTTTAAAATCTTGATCTATCTTATGTAGACTCTGCAAACTAAAATCTAGGTCCTAGAACAAACAGCTCATACAAAACAATGTTTAGTATAGATGAAAACCAGTAGCAGCAGCGGTATGTGATTTACTACTGATGTTTATTTATTTAATATCAAACAAACTATATATTATTGTATATTGATTTTTATGTTATTCCAGGGGTTTTATCAAATGTTTTTCGAAATCATGCTACCTGTACCACAAAAAGACGGAAGTGGTGTATATTTGATGGACCAGTAGATGCCGTGTGGGTGGAAAATATGAACACAGTCTTAGATGATAACAAGAAGGTACACATAATACGTTATATGGATGTAATTGATTTTATTGATTTGAAGTCTAGCCTTGCTTACTTTACTATGTAGTAAAGTATTAAATCATCATTAAGTAGTATCAATCCACTCAAAAACTGTGCTGTTTTATGCATATGTAGGCAAAAGCATAAATACATTTTGTGCTATTCATTATGCTGTGTGTTCCCTAGGACATGGCATGCATAGCTAGTCTACTGCATATTAAAAATGGCATCCCCAGGTGTGCTTTGTGATTAGTGGGGCCCCTTGTTAGAGAGTTCATGGATGTTATGATAAAAAGCAGCCCTGTCTCTTTTGGTATCCTGTCTATATTGGCAACATCTGTTCAGCCTATTTTCTGCCCTTTACTGCTGACCCTGACTATAGGCTTCTCCAACACTGCTTACTGCTTTGAGATGTATATTAGATATCTGCTTCTTCATTGTTTGCTTGATTCTGTTCCCATTTTGCTTTCCTGATTTGGCTGTTACTCTTTGGTTCAGTGTTGTCATATATTATAATGCTGTGCATAGGACCTGGGGCATCTGTGTACCAGAAAGCATACTGAACCTAAAATTTGAGTTCCAGACATATATAAAAACACCATAATGCAGTTATACACGATTTAAAAATCATCAAATGTATTTTTACTTATAACTGTAGTATCTAAACCTCTTTTGATAGTAGCCTTCAGTAATCTTCTGCACAGACTCAAACTTTGAGAGCAGGGGCATCACTAAGAGCTGATCGGGGCCTCTGCAGGATTGTGTGGAGCTCTCAGTCTCCCTTCTTGCACATGCTTACAGAAGGGCAGAGAACGAAGGTGAAATCTGTTGGTTATGTGTTTAGATGAAACACTGAGATCTTGAGGAATGCTAAATTAAGTTTTACTTGCTTAGAAGAACATTACATCTGAACACAGCATTATATAGCATACAGATAGAACTTCCTGTGTATCATAGATAAGTATACATAAGCATAGAGACTATAATTGCACTACAGCACCATCTACAGCTCAAAAGACAATATTACATCTCTGAATGTCAGTAATACAATCAGTATGCTTTTGCATTTCCAACAAAATCAGTGTACTTCTGTTCATTCATTGTCTAACATCAGACTTAGGTGGGCTGGTGCCCAAGCTGTATGGGTTAACTGCAGAGAAAAGAAAGAAGATGAGTAACTTAGCTATGCGATCTGTCAGTGATGTCAAGATAATAAGACTGGTTAAACATACACATATGTATTTTTAATGTATAATTAGTTGTTTACCTGGAGTTTAACTTAAAATGTTAATAGGGACACTAAAGATGAAGAATCAAACAAACGTGAGGGCGCAAGGCTAAAGGGGCTATAAACCTAAGTTAAACATAGTGAGAGAAGCGGAAGGAGATGGAACACTTACTTTGAGTGGGTCTCGGGAGCGGATGGATGTAGAGCAGTGGAGGAGATCGTGAAGTCCAACGTGTACAATCAATGAAGGCTGGTATGTTGCCTAGGGTAGCTCATCTCAGGGAAGAAAGAGGAGAGGGGTGGACAGGGGTGTGGGTGATGACACACGCAGTGTGTCCGTGTCCCCGCTAATGCAATGTAAAGTGCCGGCGATGTGAGAACTGACGTCTGGCTAGGCTGCTGTGGCTGCAGCTGCGGGTGGAAGAACTCGAACTGTGAATGAACGTGACTGGACCAGTGCCCGTACCGTGGTGATGATGTGGGATGGCAAATCGGCCGGGATAGTGGTAAGGTGAGGAGGGGTCGGGTTTGTAAGGTCGTGGGTGGATGCTCGGGATCAACGGGTTTTGAGGATGTTACCTCTTTGTCAAGCTCAATCGGAATGGTGTAACGGCGGCGGGAAACCGCCAATTTAAATGTGACAGCTGGGCGGAGTTTGGAGGCGGTGAGCGGCACCGCCGTGAGTGGAAGCTGTTCAGTCTCGATGTATGTCTGTGGGTTCCATGTGTGCCTTGAATGTGGGGATGGAGAGAATTAAAAGACTGTGAATAAGGCATTTTAGGGAAACGAAAATCAATAGTTTATTATAAAACTGAAGTATGGGCATCGAAACTCTGAGTGATTCGTTATGGGCGACATGATAATTTTTAGTATGAAGAACGATCTTTTGAGTCAAGAGGGGATGAGCAGGGCATTCAATAAAAGGGTTAAAAAATTCCGTGGTGATGTGCTAAGACTGTGACTCCAAGTTTGCATGTGGATATATGCATGAATATGTATGAAAGAAGGGGCTATTATATATTGATTAATAGCTTGGAGCTTATATTGAGGATAGTCTGTATAAGGAGAGGTTTATTTAATATTCATAGTATAAAGTTGAAGAATTTGGGGGTAAATTGGAGCCTAGATGATAAAAAGTATAAAATTAATACAAATTATAAATTAATATAATTTAAAAATTGTAGGATTTAAAAATGTATGTTGATTATGAAAGTGGTAGGAATTAAAATGTATAGGGGGATTAAAAAAGAAATGGGAAGATGGGGCAAGAGCACAAAAGTGATCTGGTTTCTGTATAAGCATGCGGCTCGGGCTGATAGTAAATGCCTATGAGAGACCTGTGCTCGTGATAATGGACACGGAAATCTATAAGAGATCGAAGCCGATTCAACCGTGTGTCCAGAGCCTTAGGTGGGCCTCAATGAGTTATAAAATGGTTAAAATTTCCAATTCCTCGTTCAACCCTGTTGGAGCGAGAGTATTGAGTTTGTAGAACCAAAAAGTTTCTTGTCTACATAACTTTTGGAAGCGCACGGCTGGGGAGAAGTGGTCAGGAATGTGTTCTACAGCAAAAACACGTAAATCCTGTATGCGTATGCTGTGTTTTATGGTGAAATGTCTGGGGACACTGTGGTCACAGTTGCCTTCAGCAATAAAGCGTCTGTGGTCCCCTATCCTTTTTCTTAACAGGTGGATGGTACGGCCGATATATAGTAAATTGCACAGGCATTTTAGACCATATACTACATGGTTGTTTGAGCAAGTGATGAACTGTTTTATGGAATAGCTATTGTCTAAATCAGGGGTCAGCAACCTGCGGCTCCGGAGCCGCATGTGGCTCTTTTATCCCTCTGCTGCGGCTCCCTGTCCAGGGTCAGAACTACCCCTGGGGCTGCAGGGGCTGAGGTTGTGGGGTGGGGCCCCAGTGAGGTCCGGCCCTGGGCACCCCCCCTGGTGGAATATGCGGCAGTGCAGGGTCTCGGGGCCCCGTACTGCCGATGGGCTTCTCGGTGAGGTGGCGGGTCTTGTGACTCACCTCCTCTCCCAGCCGAGTCTCTAGTAACAGGCGGCGGGAGAGGAAAAGTGTGTCACATGCCCCGCCCCCTGCAGTGCACACCGTCTGGCTGGGATGCTGGCTGTGAGGCTTTTGTCAGGTGAGTCCGAATGAGGAGCATGGGGGGGGGGAGTGCGTTACTAAGCCCAGAGTCCAGTGCGTTACTAAGCCCACATATACCTATATACATGCTATACATAGCATAAAGGTAAAAATAATGATAAGTGCCGTGTTATCTTCATTTTAGATGCCAATAGGGTTTTGTGGCTCCCGGAGTTTTCTTTTCTGTGGGAAACAGGTCCAAATGGCTCTTTGAGTGTTTAAGGTTGCTGACCCCTGGTCTAAATGATCAGTGAAGGATGATTGCTTAAAGATGAAGAATGGAAACTATCATAATATCACAGCCTTAGCTGTACCTATACAATTTGAGTAAGATAATTTGTAGATGTCTAGCTTGACTTACTGATTAGGGAATTGTCTTATGGAGTTTGGCCAACCATTAGCATCTTAGATTAGAGATGATGCTCTTTTTGTACTGAGACATGTTGCGTGAGGTGTTTTGGTATTTCTTTTAATGTCTGTCCTTCTGGAGGCTCGAAGTTTGTATTTGACATGTAGACCTGGAAAGATTAAAGGTAGACCCTGACCATTCATTACTTTAATATTTTCCAAATTCTTTTAGCTTTGCCTAATGAGTGGAGAAATTATTCAAATGAGTCCACAGCAGAACATGATCTTTGAGGTGCTAGATCTTGAGCAGGCATCACCAGCTACTGTGAGCAGGTAGGTAATCTCAGTTTTCAAGACTTTAACACCCATCTTATACTAGTTACAGACATTGTATGACAATCAGATCTTCACAGTTGATATGGCAGCAAGATTTACCTTTTATAAGCTAACTATGAACATTAACATGTCAGTGGGAATTATATGAAAACATACTATATATTTAAGTGCAGTAATGTGATAACTATACATTAGGATTTGTCTGGTTTTTTTTCTCCATATTTTATATATAATATCACTTTCCTACTACCTCCCTTTACCTGTGTTGTTCCTGTTTTTAGAATGTGTGACTCAGAGTATGTTTCTTCAAGACTTTTAGACATTCATTTTTGTAGTGTGTTTATAAAACTGTGATTCTAAAATGCTATCTGATTTAAATATTCCACTGGTATTCCTCTGGGATCAGTATGACCTTAACAGAGATATTAATGTTTTTGCAGTCGAGATATTATGTTCCTGTATAGTAATATAATATCATCTGTTTATGTTAAAAGGTAGATTTGAATAATACAACATAAACTCTTGAATTTCATATTAGCTGCTGCATTGCTGTTTTACTGAAGAACAAAGCAACTTGGGTCCCATTTAGTGGTGAAGCATAATGGATTGTTGTATCGGTTTATAAATTAATTATAGCAATTAGAAACATTACTACACAAGAATCTAAGACAGCACATTTATTTTTATTTTTAATTGAATTAACTTTAACTTTTCCATGCAAATTTTGCACATAAAAAGATTGGTGTGCACCGAAAAGATTCATTGTTTTAAAGTATTTATGAAACTTAGCACTTGTATGTCACAGGGTGAACTTGGAAAGGGTGTTTCAAGAGATTTTTGTAATATTTACTTGTGATATTGTTTTAGCAAAACATTTTCCTCCAAACCAAAAAGTTTTGTTTTGCTTAAGATATCTGTTAACCAACATAGAAAGGTTGCTTCCCTTCTTACTGGCAATGGGAAACAGCAATTGTTTTAAAATCATATATTTTTGTTTTGCATTTCATGCTCCATACAACAGACATTTAAAAATTATGCTGTGGGGAGGTCATCCAAACAGCAAATGTAAAGGCTGACCGGAGTTTAGTTTTAATAACAGAACAAGGAAAGTGAATATTTTTCCACAGTAATGCAAAATGTTTCACATACAGGGACCGTTTTACAGAGGAAAAGCTGGGCACGTAGTTTGTAGCCTATAATGTGCAGTTGAAAAGCTGGTAACATTTCTATCATTTGGTGCTCAAGACTGGGTTCTAGGTTATTGGCACCACCACAATATTATTGAAGAATATAAGTGTATCTAAACCCAAGATAAAAATATACATATACAGTAGCAGCTTACCAATTTATTTGGTGGCTGCATTAGTCTTTTTTTTTACTTTTTTCCTTCATTTTTAACCGGGTAAACCTAATTGTACTGCATTTATGGAAAAGCAGCATTGTTATTCTAGGACAGGAAGTGTTTATTGACTAAAGAAAACCTCCCCCTGTTTTCAAATAAAAGTTTATGGGGAGCTGCTGTGCAAAAAAGAGAGATCACCTAATTTCACGGCAAAAAATGACCTACTTTATCAGGTTACCAAGGTTCAGGAAAACATTTTTAAGCAACTATTGGTATGCCAGCAGTATAGATAAAAGTTCCTCAATCTGGTCCCTAATGATGTTTTGGGGGGAATCAGGGAGCTGAAAAAAAACGAGTTCTACAGACCAGGATTGAAAGCTGTGTTATAGAAAAGCTGTACTTGTGCCACCTGGCAGTTTACTGTTTTGTTTGAATGTATAGCAATGGATTTGGTAGACCTCTTGGTGAAATCTGCCCAAGGACACCAATACACTGTAGTGGTCCACAGTTATGGTACATGGTACCTTGAAGCTGTTCCTCTATGAAATACCTCATCCAAAACAGTTGCCAAAGAACTGTTCCAAATATTTACTAGAATAGTTTATCCTGAAGAAATTCTTACTGACTAAACTTGAGGGTTATGGCAGATAAGTGCAAGCAGTTTCAGAATAAGCAGCTGCAAATGTCCATGATTGATGGCCTGGTCGAATGCTTCAACAAGATTTTAAAAACCATCCTTAAGTAGGTGGTTCACAGAGATGGAAAAGTCTGGGACTACCTTTTGCCAACACTCACCCTTCATGAGAATGTTCTAGAATATATCTCTGCAAGAGCAGATTTCAAATGTGATGCCACTGGTCAGGAAACATATGCAAAGTTGACAAAAAGGCACAATGCCAGGTGTATAATAGGTCAACAAAAATAAGGTGCTTACAGATGGGGGATCAAGTGGGGGGGTACTGAACACCACTGTAAAACAGCATGAAAATTATAACTACACCTTTCTTGCTTTCACTGCTGCAAATTAGTTTATGATGTGATCAAAGTCAGTTTTTTTAGCTTCATTTTCTGTGCTCAGCAGAGCACAATCACAGAGCCTGCATCAACCTATTTTAGCCGAGTTCCCCCTTACATCAGGGCCCCCAGAGTCCTTTTCTTCCATCAGAGTCCCCAGAACTCATTCTAACATTACATCAGAGCCCCTAGTTGCCCCCCTTACATCAGAGCCCTAGTTGCCCCCCTTACATCAGAGTCCCCCCTTACATCAGAGTCCCACCTTCACATTAGAGTCCACAGAGTTAATGACCTGGTGCAAGTGGGCGCACCTGTATGTGGCAGCCTGATTGTAATTGTATGTGATATGATTACATGCAGTCTGGAATAGGCTCCGGACACATTTGGGATTCCTGCCACAGAAATACATAGGTTCCTGCTGCAGGAATCCAAGATCGCACATTAACATATAGTGTGAGTGTAGACTAAGAGTATAAAAAAACAAGTATAAGTACAGTCACAGAGTAAACCTGTCCTACTCGAAAAACACCACCCCCACCCTCAAATTTCCCTACAAAAATGCATGTACACAATGCATATTAACAACAGGTAAATGTCAGAGGGGTATACAGTACTGTGCAAATGTTTTAGGCAGGCGTGAAAATGCTGTAAAGTAGGAAAGCTTTCAGAAATAAAAGTTTTAATAGTTTATTTGTATAAATTAACAAAATAGAAAGTAAATGAACAGCTGAGACATCCAAATCCAATCAATATTTGGTGTGTCCACCCTTTGCCTTTTTTGCCAAAATGGCATCAATTCTTCTAGGTACACTTGCATACAGTTTTTGAAGGAACTCGGCAGGTAGGTTGTTCCAAACATCTTGGAGAACTAACCACAGATCTTCTGTGGATGTAGATTGCCTTAAATTGTTCTGTCTCTTCATGTAATCCCAGACAGACTCGATGTTGTGATCAGGACTCTGTGGGGGCCAAACCATCACTTCCAGGACTCCGTGTTCTTCCTTACGCTGAAGATAGTTCTTAATGACATTGGCTGTATGTTTGGGGTGTTGTCCTGCTGGGGCAATTTAGGGCTAATCACATGCCTCCCTGATGTTATGGCATGATGGATAAGTATCTGCTTGTATTTCTCAGCATTGAGGACACCATTGATTCTGACCAAATCTCCAACTCCATTAGCAGAAATGCAGCCCCAGACTTGCAAGGAACCTCCCCCATACTTCACTGTTGCCTGCAGACATACATTATTGTACTGCTCTCTAGCCCTTTAGCAAACAAACTGCCTCCAACTACAGCCTATATTTCAAATATTAGTCCAGAGCATTTGCTGCCATTTTTCTGCAGCCTTGCGGCCAAAAAGCCATATCTCTGATGTGGAGACAAGGCTAAGCAACTCAACTGCACACAAATATGGAAACTGGGATGCAAACAAATGGCAGCAAGTGCTCTGGACTGATGAGTTAAAATTTTAAATATTTGCGAGTGCCCACGGCCAGGAAGGGGCCTGTCACCCCCCCGGCTGCCCTTTCACCCACTTCTAGTCCCACATACTCAGCAGCACATGTCCCCCGGGTCCACAAGACCATGCCTTCACCACTTTAACACAGCCTCATCTTGTGGTTTGATAGCAATGGCTGCAGACCTTCTTCAAAGGTTGATCATCTCTGTGCACTGCTGAAAGTTGGGAACCAATGTCTCCTGTGTTCTTCATAATGTGACACAAACTAGGTCTGCACGGGAAGAATTGTAATTTGTGACAACCACTGTTCACTGCAGTGAAGCGATCATTTCTACAGCAGCAGCAGCAGCCAGGAGGATGTAGGATAGATTTCATGAGAGGTAAGTTATGTTGCTGCTGCTGCAGTATGCCCAAAAACATGTTTCACTAAACTTCAGCTTTGATTAAAAACATGAATTTCTGAATTGTTTTTGGGTGTATCCAACTGCTGTTAGTACACTATGTAGGAAAAAAAGCAGCGTCAAGTAAGCATGGTTATTAATTTGTAAAAAGCCTTTGTGAGCTTTACACCAAGTGGTATTTGTAGCACCTATGTGCGTAAATGTGTACACATGCACAGAGGTTCAAGCACTAGCCCAGCATGAAATTCCATACACTAATACTTACAATAGGGATTCCCATGGTATGTACCGGTACATACCCTGCCTTCTTTCCTACAATAACATAGAATACAGGGCATTTTGTTATACCATTTGGCTCTGTGCAAGGGCATTTCATTTTTTTTAGAGAGCCAGTCGTGTTGGTTTTATTTTGTTTAGTTTATAGTACTGACAGGTGCATTCCAAGGGGAACCTTATAGGACAAGGGCACAAAAGCAGCAATATTTAGATGTTCAACATGCATGCCAAACTTATGTGTCTTATGTGTATTATCTCACAGTGTATAATCAGCTAAATAGGTTCAGAGATCACAATTGGTATGCATGTGAACATCTGTATGTGCATGCCAAATTGTGATGCAGACATTTAACTTTGGTGGTGTTGGGGGTCTGCGGGCAGGGGGCTTTTAGGAATCTGGGTGCCCCTTTCATAAAGAGGACACCCAGATACTGCCCCCCCTTATAAATGATGAAGGGGTAGTTGTTACCCCTACTCATTAACCAAATACAGTAAAATTGTAAAT